TTCTGTTTCATTCCATTTTTATTATAGTAAAACATGGGCTTTCTTCTAAATGGTTCAGTTTAACCATGAACATAGAATTAAACCAGATTTTAAAAACCTAAACAATACAAATATCAAAACAAAACAAAGAAAATCTATAGAATGTGTTGTGTAATAACAATAGAATGACATAAGAAGAAATACTGAACTGGAGAATGCCAAATGAACATAAATCTTCAATCGCTAGCTGTTGATATTAATATAATTTGAATATTTTATAATATTGTGATATTCAAGATTTGTGAGTCATACAGCACCGGATAACTCAAAACAGCAACCTCTGGTCTCGCCTCCATCATCAAGTCTCCGTTTTTGTCTTGACAACACAAACACTGCAGGCACCTCAACTGCTTTAATTTGATAGGAGAATGAAAATGCAAAAGCAGGCGGTCAAAACGCGAGACGCACATGGTGCATAAGCAGCACGCAAAAAGCTTGCAGCTGTTAGTAAACCATTAAAAAAATGCACCTCTCAACGCATAAAGCGCATTCGGTTTGATCAGCCCCTAAGTATGGAGTCTGCTTTTGTTTTGTGGATCACAGACTGCATGAATAAGAACATTACACTGGACGGCAACATTATCCTTACAAAAACTAAAAAGCTTTATGAACCTTTGGCGGACATCGATGAATGTTTGCGTCTGACAACAGATTTTGATCTTTGGTTTTATTTTATAATACTGGACATATTTTTCTACGAAAGTTTGAACTGAGAGAGTTTAAACAAGAAAAAAAAAATGTGAAAATACTAATGCCTGTCTGAGAAAAGTGCATAACGTGTGTAGCGAGGGGTTTTAAAGCCTTAAAACATCTATAATAATTGTTAAAAATAAAGCTGACTACTTCATGGATTTCGACTATTGCAGGTTATTTTTACAACTTAACTCCCGCGATTAACAAGGGACCACTGTACATGCATTGCTCGAATTGTTTTTTTTTTTTCAGACCTATTTTTGATACCTATATACATATTATGTTGTTTTTTTTTATTCAGGTGGAAATCAATTTACAAATAATGTAACCTCGACTGACAGCTTCAATTACACTATAAGATTTTAGACTGTGCCGCTAACCGTCATCAGCTTCAATTAGTGATGCAATTCTTTCATTTAGAAGGCTGGAGTGTTTACCTTGGTTAAAGTGAAGAAACACTCCTACAAGTAAACTCCTCCTATAACCCTCTCAGCATGTGGCACGTATCCCATCATACCTTCCAGGGTTGTTTGCTTCCCCTCCTGGCTCCATCAAGGCTGTCGCTGTTTTCTTTGTTCTCCACTGTTCCATTACTGCCGGCTCCATCCGTGTCATTCATTAGACGAGGGTCAGCATGAGGAGATCAGACACTACGAGCAAATAAAACCGGTGACATGCTCATCAGATCATCAGTCAGCCACTAGATTAATGCTTTTGTTCTTTAATTAGCAACAGCACCAAACCGTGACTCAAACGGCACAAACTAATCATTAAAAATGAGAGGAGAATGAATCACAGGCGCATTCGTGTTTAAATTTTTTTTTCTTTTTTTCTCCTTCGGGTGGGCGTTTATGTAGCTTGTGTGTGCCCATTAAAAATATGTTTTGTGTGTGTATTAACAAGGGAACAAGCCATCAGTTGTCATTGTTCGGTTAATTGTTTGCGGTTGCTCGTCTATGAAGGTAGGCGTTCTGACATAACTGCACATGCCAGTAATGTCAGCTTTCAGGAGGATAAAGAGTTAACGCTTGTAGTCTTTTCAGTTGTTAGGTTGACAAACTTAAAGACATTTTCCAGGCAATAGTTTATTTAGTGCTTTAAAGGGGTATAGTTCCCATTAAAATAAAATCTGTCATCATTTATTCACCCTATTTAAATTTTTTCTGTTTAACACAAAAGTAGTTATTTGGAAGAATGCTGATTGATGCTATTCATTGTTTTTCCAACCGTGAGAAAAGCGAACTAAGAATAAGGTTTAAGTCCACATGAGGGAGTGTAAATGATGAGGTCAAATAATATTGAATAATGATAAAGACTATTCAAAGCCAATCCAAATCACTCAATAATAAGCATGAGCTGCAGTTGACTGAAAAACATTAGACCTCATTTTCATCTGAAATTGCACTCACTGGCCACTTTATTAGGTACACCTGTCCATCTGCCTTATAACGCAATTTTCTAATCGGCCAATCACATGGCAGCAACTGAATTTACTTAGGCATGTAGACATGGTCAAGACGATTTACTACAGTTCAAACCAAGCATCAGAATGGGGAAGAAAACAATTCAAGTGACTTTAATCGTGGCATGGGTGTTGGTGCCAGACAGGCTGGTCTCAGTATTTCAGAAAATGCTGATCTTTTGGGATTTTCACGCACAACCATCTCTAGGGTTTACAGAGAATGGTACAAAAAAGAGAAAATATCAAGCGGCAGTTCTGTGGCCACAAATGCCTTGCTGAAGATCACACCGGGTGCCACTCCTGTCAGCTAAGAACCAGAAACTGGGGCCACAGTTTACAAAGGCTCACCAAAATTGGACAATAGAAGATTGCAAAAATGGTGAGGCAGTGGCGCAGTAGGTAGTGCTGTCGCCTCACAGCAAGAAGGTCGCTGGGTCGCTAGTTCGAACCTCGGCTCAGTTGGTGTTTCTGTGTGGAGTTTGCATGTTCTCCCAGCCTTCGCGTGGATTTGCTCCGGGTGCTCCGGTTTTCCCCACAGTCCAAAGACATGCGGTACAGGTGAATTGGGTAGGCTAAATTGTCCGTAGTGTATGAGTGTGTGTGTAAATGTGTGTGTGGATGTTTCCCAGAGATGGTTGCAGCTGGAAGGGCATCCGCTGCGTAAAAACTTGCTGGATAAGTTGGCGGTTCATTCCGCTGTGGCGACCCCGGATTAATAAAGGGACTAAGCCGACAAGAAAATGAGATAATATGAGAATGTAATTTGTGCTCTGAAGATAAACTGAGGTCTCTGTGGTTTGGAACAACATCAGTGGGTGTAATTTTTATATATTTTTAAAATTTGTAAACACTTTTTTGGGAGTAATTCTCAAAGTCACATGACATAGGTTTGCTTATTCCATAGAAATTAATCACATTAAGTGGTCCTATAAAATTGAGGTAGAGCACGGAGAAATTAGAAGAATGTTTATTGACAAAAAAATCTAACCACACAAAAACAATCAAACAAAAAAGCCACTCATTTGAATACATGTTTATATCAAGTGGAAACAGTAATGTATCTTGACTGACCGTTAGTGGACAGATCACTGAAATTTTTAGGACCTGGTGGAAACGGCCATAGACTACTGTTAAAAAAATAAATAAATAAATAAATACAAAAAACTCTTTTATTAAAAATATTTTTTAAATTTGTAAAAGTTAGGTTGCTCTCATATCTATTTATTGCAGAAAATGGAGAATCGTTTGCTTCGCCATGTGGCATTAAAACATCCTGATTCATTCTCAAAGCTCTGGACCTCCCTCCTTAAAGGGATAGTTCACCCAAAACCGAAAATTCTTTCATCATTTATTCATCCTTCAGTTTTTCCAAACCCATTTGTCTGTCCTTCTTTTGTTTAACACAAAATAGTATAGCTTCAGGAAAGCTGAAAACTTGTTATCGTTGACTTCAATAGTTTTTGTTTGTCCTACTGTGGATGCCAACGGTTACGAGTTTTCTTCCAAATGTATTATTTTGTGTTCAACAGAAACTCAAAAGGGTTTGAAACCACTTGAAGGCGAGCAAATAGTGAATAAATGTTCATTTTGGATGAACTGTCCCTTTAAAACAGACTTTTGGCTTTCTGAAGGCCCACTTTGAGAGGCCAGGCTCTGATTGACAGGTGCTAATGGGGTCAGAGGTCAGAAGCAAGTACATTAGGGCTTTTTTGCTCATGCTGACCCCTGCACACTTTCTGTCAAAGCTGAAGGGCAGCATGATGCATTTCTGCTGTTCGATACATCTGAGTGACCAGCCATCCCTACGGACGTCACCCCGGCCGCCCTGGCCCAAAACTACATATTATACATGACTACAGCGGTCACTAGACACCTCTGGCTTGATTAAAGCAGCGTTTTCACACTGTTTGTTACAGTTGTTCTCATTAACGACCATGTCTGGTTGCACAAAATCAGCTAAGCTTGGCACAACATCCGCTAAATGATGCGTTCGGTATAAACATAGCTATCCAAGTGAAGCCTGAAATGCCACATACAATTAATTATTGCATTTTATTGGACACTCACACAGTGATATGCCTTGTGCAAGTCATTATCCTTTTACAAACACATTTACACATATACGTGGTGCATATTTGTAATTACTGCCAAGCATAATGCGACACACACACACACACACACACTTGTACGCTAGTAAAAGCAGCTGCATGACTAATGATCATTCTCAAATCCTGACATGAGATAAATTTGGTGTTTTTCTTGAGAGAAATTCATCAGTTCTGGCACATCCGCTCTAATGGTCTTTTAATGCTCAAATCAGCAGCCATTTCTGTCAGAGGAAAATTCCTCCCTTGAGCCTTTGCAAGTAAAATAATGTCTTATTATTTGCCTTTTTTTGTGGGGAGACATAAAGGAGACTCATTTTACTCGTTGTTAGCTAGCATTTGCATTTATTGCCTGTTTATTTTACCATTAAATGTATTTTCTTTCTTTATGTTCTTTGTAAGTGTTTTTTTAGTGCTGTTTGTAAAGTATATGTTCTTGCTTCCCATCTGTGCTGTTTAAATGCTGGTCTGTGAAAATGTACATCAGAAGTGTCCATATGTCAATCAGAAGTATTTGGTTATACACCAAAAGCACAAAGTTGTAAAATGGTATGCAGCATTAAAGTAGTAACTTTTTTCTTATTGTTTATACATTTAAAGAGTCAGTCATCCTTATGTTTACTATTTTAGATATTCTGTTGACTAAAGCATGTTTTTTTTTCAGTTTTTCATAGTTTCTTTGCATTTGTTCTTTTTTGTAGGGAATACATGTACAGACTGACATGGACTTTACAGCTGAGTTGACCGGCAACAAGTCTGGCCCTTTGACTAGCAAGTAAGAAAACTGTGTGTGTGTGTGTGTGTGTTAGTGTGTGAGATACATTTACCCTACTGAGGCTTGTAAACCTTTCTTTCTTTCTTTCTTTCTTTCTTTCTTTCTTTCTTTCTTTCTTTCTTTCTTTCTTTCTTTCTTTCTTTCTTTCTTTCTTTCTGAAATTTTCCCTGGATGTTGGTAATCACCCAAAGAAATCCATATATGCAAAGAAAACAAATCAAATTAGTTTACAAATTAAGTAATACATAATAAAATGACGAAGGAAAAAAGTATTAAACGCATGAAGAAAGGGAGGTGTAGAAAGGCAGTAAACGCCCAGACAGCAGCTGAAATCTCTCAGTAGTTCTACAGCAACCCTGTGCCCTTCATCAGTGTAAATGAATATTAGCTGCTTCAGTCCAACATTTACATTTCCAGGATGATGAAGATGAAACCAGAGTGGACATTTCAGTAAGACTGTTAGGAAAAAGAAATATATTTTTTAAAATTATTTTTGTCTCTTTTTCTTTTCATTAAACAATTATTTGTGTTGCTTATTGGTCATTGTCATGTTTGACATACTAATGAAGTGTTTTTGCAGAAGTAGATAGAGCTTATAGAGGTGAGTATGCCTGATTGTCTAAAATAACTTGAGCTTGGCAGCTAGAAACTTCCTATCAGCAGTATTTTAACATAGAATATGTGCAGTTGAAAAAGGTTTAGACTTTTTAATGTTTGATGAGGACGATTGACAAGGGACAAATTTCAGTAAGCTCCACCTGTTAATATCAGCTGCCTATAAAAGTAGTATATAAGTTGGGAAGTGAGGAAATGAAAATTGTTGTGCACCTCCTGAATGAAACGTTTGCGTTGCACTGAGGATAACATAATTTTGTGAATCAAATTATTCATTTGTATCTAATAAATTGGCAATATGTTAAACCTTGAAGAAACACCTCTCCTGACCTTTTTTATTGAACAATTATGGAATAGATTGAATATTCCAACAGACAATGATCCAAAACACAGCCAAGGAAACTCTCAAATGCTTTCAGCGAAAGAAAATCAAGCTGTAGAATAGCCCAGCCTTTCACCTGACTTGAATCCAATAGAATATACAAATTAAAGTTCAGATTTGATAAGACGAGACCCACAGAACCATCAAGATTTTAACACCATCTGCAAAAATACACCAAGTCTGTAAAAAACTCACATCTGAGCAATGCATGTAACTTTATTTATTAAAGGTGTCATTAGGCTGTCATCGCTAAAAAAAGCCTTTTATATAAAGTATCAAATACGTTTCAGTAGTTCAGTACTTTCTCCTTGTGTCATTTTATTTTCATTACACATAATTAGTTTTAGATTTTTATTTTTGTCTTGTTTTATTTTTATGTTTGTATTGTTTGGGTTTTCACCAAAATCTGGTTAAATTTTATGTCAACAACTCCTTTAGGAATATTATTCCCAGGAAAAAACATGATATGTTGAATACCTATTTTCCCCACTGTACAGTATGTATGTATGTACAATTGAAGTCAGAGTCATCAGCCCCCCTGAATTATTAGCCCCACATTTGTTTTTTTCCCCAATTTATGTTTAACGGAGAGAAGATTTTTTTAACCCATTTCTAAACATAATAGTTTTATCAACTCATTTCTTAATAACTGATTTATTTTGTCTTTGCCATGATGAAAATTATATTTTAATAAATATAATTTATTAAAAATGATCATTTTAAATATAATAAGAATAATAAGAGAAAATAATGTCTTATTATTTGTCTCTTTTTGTGGGGAGACATAAAGGAGAATTATATTTTACTAGATATTTTTAAGACACTAGTATTCAGCTTAAAGTGACATTTAAAGGCTTAACTATGTTACTCAGGTTAACTGGGCAAGTTAAAGTAATTAGGTAAGTTATTGTTTAACGATTATTTGTTTTGTAGACAATTGAAATAAATGTATATAGTGTAAAGGGGCTAATAATTTTGACCTAAAATGGCTTTTAAAAAAATGAAAACTGCTTTTCTTCTTGCCGAAATAAAACAAATAAGTAAAAACTATTATCAGACAAACTGTGAAAATTTCCTTACTCTGTTAAACATAATTTTGGAAAAAATAAATCAAAAGGAGGCTAATAATTCTGACTTCAACTATGTATGTATGTATGTATGTATGTATGTATGTATGTATGTATGTATATATGTGTGTGTGTATGTGTGTGCGTGTGCGTGTGTGCGCGCAGTTCACCCCAAAATTTGATTTGGGGTGAACTGTCACTTTAAAAGTGATGATAACCCTACACTTCTTTTTTTTTTTTTTTTGGTGCATAAAATGAAGTTAATTTAAGTAGTCAGTTGATTTTATATATGTATTATAACATTGTTTCTCAACCACATTCCTGGAGGACCACCAGCTCTGCATGTTTTCCGGGTCTCCTCAACTAAACACACCTGATTCAAATCCTCAGCTCATTAGGAGAGACTGAAAGAGCTGTAATGAGTGTGACAAAGGAGACATCCAAAACATGCAGTTTTGGTGGTCCTCCAGGAACGTGGTTGAGAAACACTATATTATAATATAATGATGTGTATACAGTTGAAGTCAGAATTATTAGCCCCCCTGAATTATTAGCGCCCGTTTATTTTTTTCCCCCAATTTCTGTTTAATTGAGGGAAGATTGTTTCAGCACATTTCTAAGCATAATAGTTTTAAAAACCTATTTCTAATAACTGATTTATTTTATCTTTGCCATGATGACAGTAAATAATATTTTACTTGATATTTTTCAAGACACTTCTGTACAGCTTAAAGTGACATTTAAAGGCTTAACTAGGTTAATAAGGTGAACTAGGCAGGTTAGGGTAATTAGGCAAGTTATTCTGTATCAATGGTTTGTTCTGTAGACTGACGGGGAAAAAAATAGCTTAAAGGGGCTAATAATTTTGTCCCAAAAATGGTTTTTAAAAAAATCAAAAACTCCTTTTATTCTTGCCGAAATAAAACAAATAAGACTTTCTCCAGAAGAAGAAAATATTATCAGACATACTGTGAAAATTTTCTTGCTCTGTTAAAAATCATTTGGGAAATATAAAAAAAAAATAAAAATAATAAATAAAAAATCTAAAGGGGGCTAATAATTATGACTTCAACTGTGTGTATATATATATATATATATATATATATATATATATATTAGTGCTGTCAATCGATTAAAAAATTAACTAATTAATGGCACCTTTTAAAAAAAAAATAATCGCGATTAATCACATTTAATATACTGAAACTTGTAATTTTGGCTATTTAAATGTAAAATTAATGTAAACGCAAGACAAAAAATATTTAAATGCAAAATATTATTGTTTGATAGAATTTTTGTTTAACTTGTAACACAGATTTCTTCATGTAAACAACATACCCACAATAAACCATCAAGATCCTGTCTTGACAGCCATATTTATTACAGAAATTAAAACACAGGCATGTTAATGACATTTAAATTTCAAAACAATCAATACCAATAAAGAAAACATTGATTTCCATGTTGGATTCTAAGTGGACTGCAAAAACATGCCAAAATACAGGAATTGCAGATATGGAAAATGAAAAATTATAATAATAAACTATAGAATACAAACTGTTGCACTCATTGTAAAGTTTTATTGCTGTGAGTTGAGAACATTAATTATAGAGTAGAAACAATTTTGCTTAATCCTCCTTTACATTCATCCAGTTGCTAGGAGTATCCCGCAAGTGCATTCGAGACTCCCGAATGCCCGCAAATGAATGATAATTTCTTGCAAACCGGTCGTGAAATACATTGCACACCCCTCTCGCCCCTACTCAGATACGTTGCTCACTCCACCCCTGACACCCCTCAACAGGCCTGACACAGACACACACACAGACAGACACACACAACGCGCTGCAGACGTTTTGGCCCCAACGGCCTTCCATACTGGAGCGACTCCCCTCAGATTCAACACGCATGATCACGTTCATCAAATTTGCTTAAAATAAGCGTCCTAAAGTATTACTGTATTTCACAAGGATTCTGACACAACAACGCGAGGCATACGCTTTCGTTGCGTTTAATGAGGAAACACGCTAAACTTGGAGGGCGCATGCTGAAAGGCAGAGTAATGCCCTGTCTTTGACAGCTCGCGTCTTCACCGGAGACTTTCTAAGTACATTCACGTAAGACAACAATACTCCGATTTTAATATGATTAAGATTATACTCTTATTAAAAGTCTACCGTGTAGCCTTAAAAGGAACCTTACCTTAAAGCTGGGGTCTCAAACTCAATTTACCTGGGGGCCGCAGGAGGCAAAGTCTGGGTGAGGCTGGGCCGCATAAGGGATTTCACAAAAAAAAAGTCCTCAAATATCATTATTAACAGTTTTAATTATTTCTTCTGAACATGAAGTGTCCTGAACATTAATAGAACATTGAGTGAAGATTATGAACAGTTCTTCTGAACATGGCATCTTTTGCCTACTCCTTGCTGCCAGAGACTTGACAGCGCTTCTTCTCACAAATCTGAACCACATTTGACTTTAGAGCAGAAGCAGCTGAGACCCTCAGTATGGCTTGGGGGAACTTACTCAAAACTTCCATTCCCTCACCCACTGCAGAGTGGATGCGCGCGTACTGAAGAGCGGTGTTATCGCGCGCGTACTGATCAGCTGTGTTGTCGCGCGCGTACTCAAGAGCTGTGTTGTCGCGCGCCTACTGAAGGGCGGGACCGAAGGTGTGCCGCGTCGCTGGGGCACTTTTGATCATTTTGGAAGGGCACTTTCTATCCAAGACTAAAAAGGGCATGTGCACTGCACAGGTTGAGCCCTATGTGTGCACGTGCCTGCCCTCACCTAAAAAAAAGGCATATATATGTATAAATAAAACACCCCCACCCCACTCCAGTCACATCAGTCTGTACCAGTCTGTATCTACCTATAATATATATAAGATGCAGGCTGTAGCTAGGTAGGTGGCAGGCTGCAGATAGGTAGCTAAG